AGACAGTGGAATGTAAGAGCTGGGATCAGAAGGCAAAGTCCATGTCTCATGAGCTCTGATTGGTCCTTGTGTGGTTGGAATGCATAAAAATGTGTGAGCGGAAATAAAAGAGCTGGAATGTTTCTCCAAATGTCATATCTCAGTTTTTGTTTGGGCTTCCAGTATTACTAATAACCGTTTATGTTCAATACCTGAGATATTTTCACTTTGGATACGTTCGTACAGCAGTTGAATAGGGCCCATTATTTTCTCTTCACATGACACAGAATTGTAATTTTTTTAAATATTTTTTTCTATATGACGGTATGAATCTGACATTTTTAAATTCCCAGGACTCTTAAACAGCAGTAATTTTCTGTTTTCTTCTTCTTCTACTTATACTACTTTTTCTTTTTAGTCAGGGAAACCGAACTGAGGTTCTTTTTCGTATTTAATTCATATTTTTGTTCTTAAACACTGAATGTCATCAGTTTTGGAATTAATATGATTTTTACATCAATCTACATTTGCATTTAGCATAATATTGCGGTTGAGTTACTTTTAAAATAATTCATGAATTACACTATATTAAGTATTGCACAAAAAAGGCGAATATAAATATATATGCATATATTTAAAATATATTAATATTATTCAATAAGTTATATTTATTATATTAATTGGTTGTTATTATTATTGGATGTACACTATTGATCAATGGCTTTGAGCAACAACAGAAAGTAAAACTAAAAGTTATTAGACAATAAAGAGCAATGTTAATGATAATTCAGAGATTTAAGAATGGAACTTCAAAGTTTTTATAATTTGATATAAGTTGTATATAATATCAATTACGTGTTAAGTTATATTATTGAAATTTGAGCATCATGCCAAGTTAGGAAGGTTGTGTAAAGATCATTTTAACTTCTTATTTAACTGGATTAGAGTAGAAACTCAGAATTGGCCACTTTACAGATCAGTGTAAATAGAACCATTGCCATTTTCCTGAAATGGTCACACCTGAGTGAGAAATGTGCCTTTAAGACACACGCTCACCAAAAACTCATAGCAAAGTGGGGAGATTTGTAAACAGAGAGCTACGTCTGTTCATTGCTGTCATCTGGAAAGTATGAAGTGCTTAACAGTTATCCTACATACCCGTTCAGTGGAAACCATCTATATTTTTCCATCTGGCATTCAGCAAGTAGCATTTGACTGAATTGTAATTTTCACATTAACCAGTCTCAAAGAGAACATCTGACCAGCACCCACACAAACGGTGTTGTTGTTTAGTAAGCACTGACCCCTGAGTGGGTTACAATGAATGGTGTTAAAACTTGCGTCTGGGCCTCCCCTCCCATGTGTTTCAAAACCTTGATAGATAAAACAAGACATCCATTTCAATAAGCCTCTGTGAACATTGAATCATATCATCATTAGCAGCCACCAGCAGAGAAATGAGCCAGATGAGCCAGTGAGCCAGATGTAGTGCGATCATACCTACTGTGACAAGCTGTGAGAAAACGGACCAGAGAGTGTATGTGTGTGTGTGTGTGTTGGAGGCGGAGGGACTAGGGGCTTTATTTGTTCATCTGTCTCAGCGTGTGTGTGAGTTCTGGAGAGCTACTCAATGAGGAAACATCTGAGAGAACCACAGGACTCTAACTAGTGTGCTACTTTTAACACGTCACCATGAGGGTGAGTGAGTGGTTTTCATTGCATTCTTTTATCTGAGTTAGTTTTACTGTGCATATAAAGTGTATTTAATCCAAATGTACCATAAACTAGTGTTTAATTACTAATATTGTACTTTTACACACATTAGTCTGACTTACAGTGTGTTGTCATATATTGGTATTTACATATAGGTATTTAGTTGTATTCCCTCATGTGTTGTATTAGCGCTCCTTTACAGCACAATTAAACAATGTATTGCTTTAGAAGTGTTAAGGTAGCGCTGGCTTTGATTGAAAACATTCATCAAGCCTGGCTGTAAACTCCAGGATCAGAGGCTCAACAGGCCTGGATGGAAGCAGATCAAATGATTAGACTCCCTCCTGCGGTTCCCTCAGCCTCTGTGTGTTTCAGAGCACTTTTAATATTCAGGGTGTGCCATGATCTTAAACAATTTCCTTCCCCTAGGGGGACCAGCTAATGACAACTACAGAGGGCCCTTTAAACTCGTAAATGAGTGTTGTGCACATTGGGGTCTGTTGTAGTCCTGGTCTAAAGTGGGACTAAACGTCTCTTTTAGAACTGAGAACATCTGTGTTCAAGGTCTTGACAGTTTTTGATTGAAAAATCTCTAAAAATGGGAGATGTTGCTCTTGGCTCTTAAGCAGAGATAATTAGCTGTCACAGTATACAGCAATTATTGGTGCAAATTGTAGTTAACGAGAAACTTTCTGTGATATCACCTCTTCAGTATTAGAAGGGTGTTTGGGTTGTTACAGAGTAGTGCTGGGCGGTATGACCAAACATTTATATCACGGTATTTTTCAAAATTATACCGGTTTCACGATACATGACGGTATTTTTTTTTCATGCGGAGGCTGGATATTGTGGAGGAGTTCTTCTGTGTCATCACGTTCTATTAGTTCTACAGCTTCAGTTTTGGAACTTTAACGCTTAGTAACACATACAGCTGTTCCCTCACCACAGTGCAACAGTGAAAAGTGACCCCTTTCAAACAGTGTCGCGTTCCGAACGTTGTTTAAGTGACATACACCGGTATTGCGGTATTTTAAAAATTTATATCATAACAAAAATAAACACCGGTATTCGGTATGAACCGGTATACCGCCCAGCACTATTACAGAGCCTGGACACCTGAGGAATGAAAGCACGGGGGCTTTTTGTAATTCAGACGTGTAATTATCTTGATGAGACAGCCTTGTCAGGTGAAGACATGTTGATGTGGTTCTGATAGGTGATTGAACATTCTTTTCATCTTTTCATATTTTTAAGTGATTTATGTCACAGCGGATCAGTTTCAGTGGTCTCTCTGAGCCACCTATTTAAATTCAAGCTAAAATCACTTTCATTTGGTAATTTGAATGGAAGATTTTGGTGCTTTTTGATATAGAAACATCTCTCTGTCTGTGATTCGGTAGTTTGATGGGAAAGGGCCATGGGAACAGTCTGAACCGATTCCCCTCAGCCATGTTTCTCGTTTCAGTGTGATCCTGGAGATTCAGGGGCGGGGCTGATGATTACAGGTTGAGCTAATTAAGGGTTTGTAGGTTACTCATCACAGTCCTCCACAAATCACACTGTGCTCATCTAGTAGTCTCTAGAGCACATCAAAGAGAGCACACACAACCTGCTGGAGTACCAGCATGCCTCTTTTTGTTTATCTTCCTTTTCTGCCTTGGATTTAATCATGTGCAATTATTTTACAACCTACAGCAAGGTTTTGTAGTCAAGGTTTGTGATGGAGTGGCTCAAGAGAGATTGATATTTTATGAAAATTAAATATGTATTTTAAATGTATACTACCATTTAAAAGTGTGGGGTCAGTAAGATTTCTTAAAGTTATATATACTCACCAAGGCTGCATTTATTTGATCAAAATAGAGTAAAAACAATAATATTGTGATATATTACCAGAATTACTAGCATTTCTTAAAATCTCAAAAGGAAATATTTATTAAGTAATTATATAATTTAGATCCTAGGATAAAAGTTTGTAAGATAATAAAGAGATAATATACAGATTATGGGAAGTCTGTGTAATATTCACATATTGACATAGTGAAAACAAATATAGTAAAATGTATTTGAAATTCTTTTGTGCTATTTTTTGTGCTAAGTATACTACAAATACATTTGCATATTTATGTGCTTAATAAAAATACCCTGCAATTGTACTTTTGGTATACTAAACTGGTATACTTAAAGTCTGCTAAATTGGAACAACTGATTTTGTGCTTAATGCACTTTAATTGTGTGGAAATAGTGTTGAGGTCCAACTAAAGATATACTTAAGAATATTTGATTGTGCTAAAGTGGAACTATTGCAATGTATACTTCGGGTACACTTTAAATATCTTGCATTTAAAGACTGATATTATACAGTGATCATACAATCCTTATTAATAGTGATATTAAAACCCATTTTAGGCATAAGAAATGTGCATTGTACTATAAAGAAATTCTCCAAATTAAGTTTAATTATTATTTTATACCAGTAAGTTTTAAGTGATATGTCAGTAAATATGTTAATGGATTTGAAGTATACTTAGAATGAAATACATGAATTTTAAATAAATCATGTCATATGATTTTATACTAGGGGAGTGTCAGCCAATCATTGAATGTCATCAAGTATATTTAAATTCCCGAGCGCTCATTGTTCTCACAGTAGTAACTCAGTTTTTCAGTTAATACCTCTAAATGCCTAGCTGCATAATTTAACAAGAAACTGCACTTGCATTAATAAATTGCATTCATAGAACCCCAAAACCATCGTTAAATGTATTTTTCCACACAAATTATTACAGCTGATTTTATAAGCATTTCTAGATATTAACATATCGTAAAAACATTAAAGTTTATTTTTTCCATTTGCGTATCATACAGACTGTGTTACTCAGCAGAGTCGGTGCCTCGGTCTGGGGCAAATGGCATGTAATGGCCAAAGGTCACACTGAAAATGTGTCATTGAGGTGGGCCCGACTCACTTAAGAGGGCAGCTGTTACCACATTCAGACCCCCCAGGCTGACATTACATGAGTTCTGTGTAGTTGCGTAGTTGTTTCAGTGTCTGCTGTAAGAGAGGGCCTGTTCTGACAAGCGCTGGGTGTTTGTATGTGCTGAAAGCAGGGTCCTCCCGCTTGAGGACAGGGTCCTGATAAGAGTCTCTCCAGACAGTGGCGCTTCTGTTTATTTCCTCTCCTCTCTTCAGATCTGCATCAGTAGGATGCTGAGTGCCAGAGGCTGGTGCAGAGGAAACTAGATAACGTGAGGGAAATTTTTGCCACCCCTGACTCATCTAATAGCTCATCTCTGTTGTGTTTTAGGAACGGCAGCGGCTGGAAACAATCTTGAACCTCTGTGCCGAGTATAACAAGGGCGATGGGCCGGCGGGAGATCTGGGGCTTGGCTCAAGGGACGGGCTTAACGTCAGACGTCCTTCCTTGGACAGTGTGAGCAGTGCTTCCCTAAGGGTGACGCAGAGACATCGTCAAAGCCAAGAGGAGGACAGCAGTAGCACTGAGAGTGCACAGCAGGACGGACGGACCCCACCAGCTCTGCTAAATGGACAAAATGGACAGGTCTGACTCTTTTTACTTCTTTAAATAAGAACAAATGTGGTATATATGTTTTCACTATTAGCAATGTTAGTATCTACCTTTTTAATCAATTATACAATATTAATGTGCTTTTCATATTACATATTTGTATTATTACACTACAGTTTAAAAGTTTGGGGTCAGTAGGGTTTTTTTTTTTTGGAGGAAATGAATGGTTTTGTTCATATTTTTATTCAAAAGTGACAGTAAAGAAATTCATAACATTACAAAAGATTCCTATTTCAAATAAATGCTGTTCTTTTGACTTTCTATTTTTAAGAAATCATGAAAAAATGAATTACGGTTTCCACGAAAATTAAGTAGCACAACTGTTTTTAACATTGATAATAATAAGAAATGTTCATATTAGAATGATTTCTGAAGGATCATGTGACATTGAAAATTCAGCTTTGCCATCACAGGAATAAATTGCATTTCAAAATATATTAAAATAGAAAACAGTTATTTTTAATTGTAATAATGTTTCACAATAGGACTGTTTTACTGTATTTTTGATCAATAAACTGCCTTGGTGAGCATGAGAGACTTCAAAAACATTACAAAAGAACTTACTGACCTCAAACTTTTGAGCAATAGTATATGTAAAAAGTAAATCATATAAACTGTGTGTGAATTGTATTTAGGCAGAGGACTCTCTGGGATCGGGCAGCATTGGCCGTCTGGAACTGGGATACCTGGAGGAGGAGCGGGTTCAAGTGCTGGCAAAGGTAGATGAGCTCAAAGCTCGAATCACAGAACTGGAGCAGCAACTTCAGGAGTCCAAACAGGAGGTGAACCACTCTCATAAACATTTTTATATAGCTAGTTAAATACACTGAAGGATACACAGGAAGTCCTTTCCTAATTATAGTGGATAACAGTTGGAAGCAGAGGAAAGTGATGCATAGTGGAACAGAGAATGTCAGATGGAGCTCTCGGGTGTGTTTATGTGGCCTGTGTGAGAATTGCTCTATCTGATGTGTTGATCTGGACAGGCGGAGATGGAAAGAGCTCTGCTGCAGGGAGAAAGACAGGCCGAGCTGGAGCAAATTGAGGCTGAGACAGGGATTATCAGCCAGCTGCAGCGCAAACTCAGTGAACTGGAGAGCACCATTCAGAGAGAGAAAGACAAGGTAGGATACACACCGCATAAAAGTTCACAGAATGTAATTGTCCATATTCTGAACATATTTAGGCATTCATTTTACATGTAGAAGTAAAAATGTTTCCATAAAGGTGTGGTCTTATTTAGCATTGCTTAGGAATCCACATCATCTCGAAATTCACATGAGGGTGAAAGATTTCCCCATGCAGATTTCGCAACTGGTAGGTTGGTCGTAAAATTGCCATGTTGACCAACAGAAATCTGCTTGATTTAAAAGTGACTTCATTGTAAGCTGTTCTTCATATGTATACACTATTGACAATAGACCATTTTTTGCTTGTGAAATTTCGCCGAAATGTGAAATTTTTGAAACTTCAAATCCCCAAACTGACTGTTTTGTGTTTTATACTGTCGAGCCTTTTTGGACTGAACAGCCTTTTCTGGTCTCTGACATTCCTTAAAGGCATGCCATTCTGCTGGATGGCCACTCAAGGCCCATTCTGGTCTCGATTGCCATCCCCAGGTAAAAAAAAACAAAAAATAAATAAAGAGCGACAGTGCTCATCCAAACTAGCCAAACTGCTTCCCATTACATCTGGTCATTCTACATTCTACAATAGAGGATCTGAAGATGATAGTCACATTTAAATGCAGTTCACTGGTTTTGTTTGGGCAGAAAGCCAAGGTTCTGTCTAGTAATCAAGCATTCATTCACAAGAGGTGTTGTCTTTTTCCTCTCCTTTTGTGGTGGTTCTCATCAGGTCCTCTACAATGCTTGGCAACACTAACAAGCCTTCATTAACCTCTAATCTCCTCACTGCTTTTTTCCGCACTGACAGTCTCTCCGTTTCTTCTGCTCACCCCCTCGGGTTCAAAACTGTTTAGCTTAGCAAAACTCAGGCTTTGGGATTAGCGCACTGGCTATGAGGGACAATAGCTCCAGTGGTGCAAGACTCTGTGACTTACAGTGGGTGTCTTTTAGAACGTTTTTTTCTGCACGCTGTTTCAGAATTCCAGCTTTTATTTCTTATCCATCAGATTCTGGGTTTCTCTGGGTATTTTAGCCTCCTTTTTCGATTCTGCCAAGTATTATGCTCTTGGAGATATCCTTAAAGGAACAGTTCGCCCAAAAATAAAAATTCTGTCATTATGCCTTTTGTTATTATGGACTTACTTTCTGTTGAACGCAAAATGGGAAATTTTTAACACTGTGCTCGGCGTTCTTTCCCATGAATTTTCAGTGAATAGGAAATGAAACTTTCAAACGTCAAAAAGGATGCAAAGCAACATAAAAGTATCAGTACGACCAATGCACTTTATATTCCACAAAAAGTTATGTCTTGATGACGTTAGGGGTCTTACTTGGGAACCCGAATCACCTCTGAGTTTAAGAGAAAAGGCCAATGAAAATTGGCGAGTGGCTTAAGATAGATTAAGATTAAGATAACGTTTATATCAGGGTTCCTCAATTAGTTTTCGCCGAGGGCCGAATTCTGCCAACAATACCAAGCCAAGGGCCACTGGCATATATATATAATTGTTATTATTATTACATTTATTATATTATTGTTGCTTTTGTTAAAATAATCACAAAATGGTCACAAGATGAATATTCAGATTTATTTCCCCAGTAGTCTGTTTTATTTAAACAATTATGAACATTTTTGCATTTAGATACAGAAGAACTTTGCCTGTTGAATATTAAAAACAAATGAACAATCCATTTCCATGTCTGCCATGCAAATCAACTGTTCCTGCTCATTCTCAGACTGGATCTCTTCTCTCCACTTTCCCTAATTGCAGATTCAGTTATTAGATTTGTAAGTATTAATATTTTTATGCTTAGATTTTTTTGGGAGGGATCAAACTGTAACACCGTGTGTCCCAATCAGACATGACGCGATAAAAAGTATCTTTTCCATGTAGTTTTTGTCCTAACCACCGACTGTCAGGGATTTGTCGTGTTGCGCCGCATCCAGTGTTGACAGCATCACTGATTATAACGGGTTCTTTTATTGCGTCGCGCTGCGCCGCTCGCGTCCGGTGTAGACACAATGTAAGTTAATGTAGCTTTCTAATGCTGTGTTTGAATTTTCATGCATATATATATATATATATATGTATATATAACAGGATTGTTCATTCAGATCTTTTTTGATCTGTTTGTTTGCTTTGAACCCATTGGCTTCCAACACGCTCATGTTACCAGACCGGCTGTAATTTGTACTAGATTGATCTTGACCGCAAACAATCTGTGCAGTGTTTGTGCAAACATGGAAAATTCCCCTATAAACCTTGAAAATGGCTTTTTAAAGTTATTTAAACAGAATCTGGTTCTGTCTGTGCTTTGATATATTGATGTTTTGACATGCTTTGAATGTTCTCATATTGGTCTGGAAAAGAAAACCATGCATGAATGCAATGTGCAGTAGAATAGCTCAACATCTAGCCTTAGAAATATCCGAGGACTAACTTAAAAAAAAAAAAAAAATCTGATGCATTATGTCACATCGTATCTACACTGGACGCGACAAAGCATTGCAAATCATTTGAACATTGTGTCAGTAGCCTACGTTATAAATAGAACGAGTCAGCAGTTTACTGTCTGGGATTTGTCGTGTTGCGCCGCATCCAGTGTTGACAGCATCACTGATTATAACGGGTTCTTTTATTGCGTCGCGCTGCGCCGCTCGCGTCCGGTGTAGACACAATGTAAGTTAATGTAGCTTTCTGATGCTGCGTTTGAATTTTCATGCCACATTATTTGAAATTAGCGCGGGCCAAACTTTTTTCTATCACGGGCCACCTATTGAGGAACCCTGGTGGTAAAGCTGCTTTGAAAGAATGTGTATTGTGAAAAGCGCTTTACAAGTAAATCAACTAAAATTGAATTTTGCAGTTTTCTGTGAGCGTTATAGCTGATTTCACAGTTTTCAGTGAAAAAAAGTCTTTACATAGATAGAACTGTCATATGATTTCATAAAATTTCTCACACAGACACACACACACACACACACACACATATGTCATTTTTTATTATGCTTGTATGATACTTTGCACCTTTTGAAGAAGCTCCAGTCCCCATTCATTGTAATTGCTTGGAAAAAAGCAACAAAAATAGTCCTTTTGTGTTCCACAGTGGGGAAAAAAAACTCAAATGGGTTAATAATGAAATGGGCAACCAAACAATTTTCATCTTTGGGTGAAGTATTCCTAAAAAAATTTTCCTTTTCCATTAAAAAAAAAAAAAAAATCTGATGCATTAAGTATGATGCTATTGCAAATCTTTCTTTTTATGATAAAAGAAAGAAAAAAGGCCAGCTTCAAACTAGCCAACGATGCCAAACAAATCAATTCTTGCCATCTGATATAGCATAATCTCATCTAAAAAGCACATACCAGCGGAAATTCATTACATTTGAAGTCATTGACCAAGAAATGCCTGAGAACAGAAGTCTGTTTGGCCCTGTTGATGGCCTACAGTCCAGTGCCACTTAGTTTATAGTATTTTATAAGGCTTAAGGCCCGTTCACACCAAGAACAATAATTATAAAGATAACTATAAAGATAACTATATTAGCGTCCACACCAGCGGACAATATCATCTGTTTGTTCCATGCGCACATTCGTCTGCCGCTTTAAATTCTCGAGCTCGTTATAGCAGGACTGATTCTGATTGACTGTCAATGTTTTTATCATTCATCAGCTGGGAAAAAATCATTCTGAAAGTGATTCCAACTATATCGTTTCTCTGTGCCTTTATCGTTATAGCTGTGGTGTGGACTCTGTGGTGTGCTATTCTTTAATATTGAGAAAGATTTTTAGAACTATATCTTTATTGTTATCTTTATAGTTATCGTCCTTGGTGTGAACAGGCCTTTAGAGTTCATCCTTTCTGGCTCCACCCACTCTGTTGTGAACTCTAGCCACGGACGCTTCTGCATGGCGTGGATTTGAGCTGTGTGTTCTCTTTCTCTCCCCTCCCCGGATGGTGTGTTTTCTTTCTAGGAGAAGGCTAATGTTGAGGCGGAGCGGGAAGCCCTGGAGAGGCTTCAGGATGAGTACAATGAGTTGACGAGCCAGCTTCATAACTGCCCTGAGTCTCTGAGGGAGCAGTTACAGGAACAACTCAAGAGGGTCAGTGACCATCAGGAACATCAGCACTTTTAGAACTGCTTCCGTCCCACAGTCCTGGCTTTATAAACCCCACTTTTCAGATACACATTCCCAACTAAGCTCCTTTGGGTTGTCTATACACCGAATCCACCATGATGATCCTAGTAGAACCATTATTCCATGTTTATTATTATTAAGAATGATTTCTGCTGGGAACATCGTTTTTATTCTTGTCTGCCTTAGTTTAGTGCACTGAAGAAAGTGTCTAAATTCCTAATGGGAGGTAACGTGGTGTTAATTGGTGAAATTTTGCATGTTTTCGACATTTTTGGATGTATTGTTGAGGTTTCTTACATGCTACTGTCTGGTGCCAAAATATTAATAACACTTAACAATGTACTAATCTATTAATGCAGAAGCTAACGTAATGCTAGTTTTGTTTTGATACCTCTCACTTCTCTCACATGATTATTTCCCTCAAACCAGTTAAGCAAAAACCCCATCCAGTCGATTTCTTTGGTCTAATCAATCATGCAGTCAGTCACAAGTCAATAAAAGTTCAGAGTTTAGAAAAATCAAGAATGAATCCGATCACGACAAACATGCTATTTATCTGGAAGTGCAACCAGTGTTATTATAAGGTAAAGGTTAGGGTTAGGGTTTAGGATAGGGTTAGGGTCAGTATTTGTTTAAGTATTATATAGGCAATCAGCTGTTATTGACATGCCCAATAAAATCTTTAAAATCGCTAAAGGGTTTGCACTTAGCTTGTTTGGGGGAAAATCATGCACTTCTTTCTATATACCACACAGATTATGATACTTTGGCCAAAATATATTTTTGCAATGTATTTTGATTTGATTTGTGTAAAAAGACACAAAAATACAACGCATACCAGGAAGTCTCTGTTTAAAATATGAAGAAATATATTTATTGTGATTTGCATAGTTGAAGGAATCTCATCGGACAGTGCTCGGGCAGTGTTTTTGATGACTAGCCCTTTTTGCAGGCAGAAATATCCCAAGGGTTGCACGAGAGAGAAGTGATGTCATGTGCGCACTGAGCCTTCAAGCTTCACAGTGTCAGAAATGCTTTGATGAATTGACAGCAAGGGTTAGCCAGTGTCCTTGAGATCTGTATATAGAAAAGACTTTTCATAAGATGAATTTATGATCTGAAGTCTCAAAGTCATTCCTCTTTTTTCAGTCTTTCCCAGTTTTACCATCCCAGCTGACTGTTTAAATGATGTTTGATGTACTTGGGTTTCAGTTGTATGTATTATGATAGATCTTAAAGGATTCTGGAAGAGTGTATTATTTCCACACAGATCTGTGTGTAGCACCAGGGTTTTCAACCGGACCCCGGGGATCCCTGAAATTACTGCAGGAAGTCTTTAAAATTATATATAAACCATAAAAAATATCTTAAGAATATGTAGAAATTTTATATATTTTAAAATGTATTTCTAAATATGGTTTATGTAATATTAAATTAATTAATGTTACCCATACCTGTTTCTATACCAATCATTTTCAATAATTGAAAAGAAAATGTATTATTTATTTAAATTTAAATAAAGAATGAATGACTATAATTAGTATTATTAGTAAATGTTTATTTAATAACAAATAATTTAGTTAATATTTTAATCAAATACATTTTAAAGTATTTTTACTTTTTGGATTTTTGTATTGTATTTGGATAAGGTTTACAGACCATGTTGCATAACGTTCCTACTGGTTCCTCCCTGTGGCTTTTTAAGCTTACTTAGCTTGACTGCTGCAGAGCATGCGTAATGCTGTCGTTTTATGGGATGCTTTGACTAGTGTTTGACCCTATACTTGGATGTACGTGTGTGTAGGAAGCTGAGACCATTGAGGCTGCGACTAAGCAGTTTGAGGACTTGGAGTTCCAGCAATTAGAGAAGGAGAGCAGTCTAGAGGAGGAGCGCGAGACCATCACCCAGCAGCTGCTGCAGGACAGAGCTCAGTACCACAGCAGCATCACCAAAAGAAAGGCAAATTAAACTTAGACACATATAATAAAGCATGGATGCACCAAGAGCATCTCAACCTAATGTCCAAATTGTTGTTTCCAGGAAAAAGTTGTGGCATTGGAAAGCCAGGCCAGTCAGTTGGGAATACAGGCCACTCAGGAGTGTGAGAGACTGGCCAAGGACAGAAGTATGACCTTGCAACTGCTACAGAAGGTACAAGAAATGAAAATGACTTCCTATATTCACTTTTAATGTTCTTGCTCATTTTAAGAGCACTTTAGGATGAGGACTTGCACCAAATTTCTCCAAAACCTCTTCCATATCAATGTCTACGTGGTTGCTTGGTAAAAAAGACCAACTTTTTCAAAAGTTTAGCATAAAATGATTGAATTAAAATCTGTGCGTTGGGAAATAACTAACTAAAAGTACTTATTTGAATTAATTGGTTTGTTTGGATAGTTTGTGTAAATGAACCGTGTCACTGCCCACCCTTACGAAAAAGAAGTTTATTCAATTGTGCTATTAGTATACTTCTTCTAAAAGCAAAAGCTTCTAAAAATAGGAAAGTATACTTTCAGTCTACTTTTTATGTAGTTCTCAGAAATGTGCTTTATGTACTTCTCAGAAGTATACTTAAAATGACATTTAAGTATACTTGACTTATACTTAGAAAAAGTCTATATATATTTGAGCTATAGCTACTTGTGCTCCGGGAATCCATGTTTTCATTGTTGTATGGTAGGGGGCGCTATTATACATCTTCTGTACAGAAACAAGCCAAGAAGAAACCGAAACAACAGATGCTTCCACATGTAATGTCACACGATCAGACATAAAACAGCATCAAAACTGTGTAAAGTTATGGAATAAAATATTGACCCATGAAGAGGTAATGACTGTTAAGCTTTGGGGTGTTGATAGACTCCATCTACATTTTGATTATCATTCTGAATCCAATTCATAGTCTTTTTTCAGCTTTTTGTTCAAAATGTTATTTCTTTTTTTTTTTCTTTTTTTTTTATGAAACTTACCCACATTCAAGTGTTTACAAAAAAGAATGCATGAAGCTAGAATAAAATGTTTTTGTTTACAAGCAAATACCCCGTTCTTTCTTTTGATATTTGTATGTTCAGATAGCCTATTCATATAGCAAAATATATACAAATTAATACCTAAATAGGGACATAGTAGTATACTTAAAGTATGATGTAAAGTTCACTTAAAGAAAACTTACGAGTATACTTGCAGTATAAAACTGCTAAACTAGTAGTTTACTGAGACTATAGTTCTGAGTGTACTAAAAATGCTACAAGTATTTAATTAGTAAATTATCTGTATACCTATAAGTTCACTTTTAGTATAGTTGCAGTACAAACTAAAAACATAAATGTAAACTAATTGTGCACTCAAAGTTGACTACTGTTATACTTAAAGTATACTTAAAAGTATACATTTATATCCTAGAAAGTGGGCCAATTTAGTCCCAAAGAGTATTGAAATAGTACACTTACAAGTATACTACTAGTACACTGATAGTTGTATACTTACTACATAAAGTATACTTAAAAATATACTTGAACTTTACTTAAGTATAAAATAAACTTGTAGTATACTTCTTTTTGGTAAGGGCAAATATTTTTCTAGTTTTATTAGTTTTCAGTTGAGATCATGATTGTTTTTGTTCCATATAGGTATTGCTTTGATTTGATAATAAAAACAAAAAAAAAAACATTCCTATTCAAAATGTTTTGGGTCAGTTAGATATATTAGTTGGGTTAATAAGTGTCGTATGCTCACCAAGGCTACATACATATTTGATCATAAATACAGTAAAAACAGTACTATTGTGAAATATTATTATAATTTAAAATAACTGTTTTAAATTTTCAGCAGCCATTACTCAAGTCTTTAGTGTCACATGATCCATCCGAAATAATTCTAATATGATTTAGTGCTCAAGACATTTCTTGTTATAATCAATGTTGAACACAGTTGTGCTGCTTTATATTTTTGTGGAAACCATCATACTGTTTTTAACTGATTGACTTGGAATCTATGTTTCAGGAAAAGGAAAGGCTAGCTAATCTGGAGAGAAGATACCAGAGTTTAACTGGAGGAAAGACATTCCCCAAAAGCTCCAACACTATAAAGGAGGTAAGCAGAACTGTAATCAAATGCTTCATGAGCCTGTTATGCTAGGCTACAAGATATAACTGCTAAATATTTGCTTGAAATTAGAATGTATTTGTTGGTTAACGTATTTTTTAAATGTTGTTGAGTTTTTTCCAAGTACAGTATGCTTTCATGTGACCTTCAAATGGTTGATGGGGACCCATAGTATGTTTCTTAGCAAACATTTTGCAATCCATCTTTGTAGTTTGGTTTTCTTGGGCTAGGAAAGCTAAGGTTTAGCTTTGTAGCCAGGTGTTCCTGGTAGCATATGCGTCTCCTGTGCCATCCCATAACATTTTGGTTAGCAAAACAGGAAATGAAATCTTTTAGACTCAGGATATTGTTTGACTTATAAACCTCCGCCCAGGATGTGCTTCACATCAGCGAGGCTGACCTGTTAGACGATGATCACCCCTACTCCTCCCCCTTTCATGCTTCCTCATTCCACTCATATCCCATGGTGCCTCAGGAGGTAACTGAACTAACTGTCGATGCATGCAGCCTGGAGCGTGCTCTGAGAACATGCCTGTACAGAGCATCTCATTTTTTGTTGCCTTATGGAGAGCAATTGGCTTGTTGGGATCTCATGTTTGCAGGCTTCCAAAGACAAATCACACTTCCTCTGAAGTTTTGGAAGAGGTTTATTGATTTTGTATGCAGCCAAGGCGCTTAGAAAAAGTTTCACATCAACACATCAAGTGTTAGGAAATAGCTAACAAATTTTGCCATTTGAGTGAATTGGTTTATTTAGATTCAGCAAATGATTTACAGATTAATTTTATCCACTGTGTTTTATTGTTTTATTAGATTTATAACTGAGATCATAATTGTTTTTGTTCCATGTAAATATTGCTTTGATTACACAAAAAAAGTGAAAGAATTATCTTTCTTATATTATTGTGAAAGAAATATCTTATGCTTATGTTAAGGCTTTATACATATTTAATCAAAAATACAGTAAAAAAAGGAATATTGTGAAACATTATTAATTAATTGATATATATATATATATATATATATATATGATTAATTATTAAAATTAATTGATATATATATATTTGATTTTATTTGATATATTTGATTGTTATGAAACTAAATAAATATTGCTAAGAGTGTATTTACTTTTTGTTAAGTGTTTGCAGAGTAGCTACTTTTTCAAAAGTAATTTGACTGTAGTTGGACTACTTGAAATTATAGCTGCGTCCCAAATGCCACATTATGCACTTATACACTATGTACTTATACACTGTACTCAACCATGTAGTATATTAATTATATAAGGTTGTTTTGTCATTCATAATTAGAGTCTGATAGCCTCTCCCCCTTCGCTACATAATTAAAGCCGTGACAGTTGAGTGCATGAAGTGTCCAACATTCCACACTTTTCGGTTATTTAAGTGCATTATCCGGGTATTTAAAGTGCACATTTTCTTTTTGGAATGTTCAGTGTGAACACACTACTCACACTATTTATACTACAAAATGGCATAGAACAGTGCATAAGTATGCGATTTGGGATGCACTGCTTGAGTAACTTTAAATTTGAATTCATATAAAGAGTTAGATGGAGGCATGAATATGACATAACTGCTCTCATTGGGTTTGGATGTGAGTAAACTGACAGCTGAACTTCTGTCCTGTGTGAATTGATTGACTGGTAACGTCTCTCAGGAGTACTTGAAGCTGTCGGATGTTTATAAGATGTATGGGAGTGATTGCCATGACATCCAGCTCACCGACGCTTCCTCGCATGGCCTCTCGCTTGCCCTTGACCCAGCTGTAACTGCCCCCTGTGAGGTATCATAGCTGCTCTCTTCTTTCTGCTTCTCTCTTTTAAACTTATTTTCCGTTCTTCATACCTATAGTGCTACTTATATTTGTGCTGTAGATATTTGTTAGCTTTACATCATATACATGACCATAACCAAGCATTATAGTATTACGGGTCATGCTAGGAAACGGGTGCCTTTTCCAGTTTAATAAGGAAATTGATCATAAATATTCTGACAAAGAATGTGTTTAAGTGTTAAAGGAATAGTTGAGAAAATTAAAATTTGCTAAACTTTTACTCATCCTCAGGCCATCTAAGATGTAGATGAGTTTGTTTCTTCATCAGAACAGATTTGGAGAAATTTAGCATTACATCACTTGCTCACCAATAGATCCTCTGCAGTGAATGGGTGCCGTCAGAATGAGAGTCCAAACAGCTGATAAAAACATCACAGTAATCCACATATAAACCACACTACTCCAGTCCATCAATTAACGTCTTCTGAAGTAAAAAGCTGGGTGTTTGTAACCATCATTAAGGCATTTTAACTTAAACATTTAACTTTGAACATTTTAACTAGGGATGCACCGATACCACTTTTTCCAGTACTCGCCCGATACCAATACTTTTATTTTAGGTACTTGCCAATACCGAGTACCGATATCGATATTTTTATTACATTTGTAAATGTTTTAAATATTGGGTACAGAAACCAAAAGAGTATGTATAATGTTAGTTGGTTAACTTCATTGAGTGAACATCAAAGATCACACAACAGAAGTGTGTGCGCTCGCTCTCTCTCTCTCTCTCTCTCTCTCTCTCTCTCTCTGTCTCTCTCTCTCTCTCGCCCTCCCTACCGTTAAGTAACTTGTGCAATGTTTTACTTACTTGTTTTTGACATATCCGACCGAACTACAAACTTTCCAGTGATGTCTGTGAGAAAGGTATATTCACTCGACAAGCTCGCGCATCTGCACCGCCACGCGCTCAATCCACTCAGCGTGCTTTGTTTATCAGCTCGCGCACATCAGCTATACAGGTGTTAATACTGAATGTTTAGCATATTCATTGCATACATATACTTCGTAGACATCCTTAATCTCTAATAACTCCATTCTGCTGTCTGCTGTCTGTTGTTCTGTTGTCGGTGTTTCTTTGTCTGAATATGGCACTTATCACATGCTGTGTGGTATCGGTGTTTGGTATCGGGGCATTTTAACGAGTACGAGTACAGGAGCTCAGTATCAGGCCGGATACCGATACCAGTATCGGTATCGGTGCATCCATAATTTTAACCAATGCTATTGGCCAAAATACCAGTCATTAATCCATAATAATGCTCTTCTACATTTTGGATGCAGTGAGAGTGATTACATTTTCAGCAAATTTTCAGAGTTATCATAATTAAAACTATTAAAAACATTTTTGTTAATTGAGTAAAGTTGAATAATATATAAATATGTGACAAGTGGGGTGTTGCCGAGAGCCGTGGGAACGGAGAGAGGCCGGTGGAGTAAATGATAATGAGCGACACCTGCGCCACTCACCGGTCTCGAGTCCAACGGAGGAGCGACGACAGTGAAGGATGAGAGAGGACCAGGCCTGGACTATTTATGTTGTTGTTTTATTATGTTTTATGCGGCAGTCGTTCGTGACGGGCTGCCGCTTTTACTTTCGTTTTGTGTTCGTTCATTTGTTTATTAAAGTTTCATGTTTAAATGTTCGCCGGTTCCCGCCTCCTTCCCAATCTACGATCGTTGTTACAAAATATTTGACGAAAAATAAATGAATGAAAATGAGAAATGTTGCCTTGATAACTTAACTGAAATAAGTTTAAGGTAAAGCACTGAAATTACTAACTGGAAATAAATAAAAACTAAAACTGAAATAAAATTTAATTATATTTTTATTTTAAAAAAGTAATGAAAATGACCAAAGCTTAAAAAAAAAGCTATTACTAAAAATGAACAAAAAATTCAAACTGAACATATAAAAATAAAAGCTAATTTAAAACATTCAAAAAAAAAATACTATATAGATAATACTGAAATAAACCGTTGTTTGCATATAATTATGCTTCCTAAAACAATAAAGGTTTATGGTAACAGTTGACAGTTTTACAGTTTAATTTGGCAGCCATGAAGGTCATTAAACTACAAGGTAGATAGATGCATGTAAATAATAAAGGTAGCTTTTCTTTTCATATATTTTGTTTTCAATCAAATGTGTATATTTGATGATACAGTAAGGAGTTGGAAACAGAGGTAGGAAAGATAAAAAAGGCATAAATTAATTGAATGAATAGATGGATGAATTAATTAATTAAAGGTGTCATATGATGCGATTTCAATTTTTCCTTTCTCTTTGGTGCAACAAATGCCTCATTTGTAATGGGTTTTAATGTTTTTGTCTCGACGCACCAGGACACAACATCAACAGTATGTGAGGGGCGTAACATTTCCGTCTCACACTTGAGGTATTCGGCCAATCACAACGCATTGGATAGCTCACAGCCAATCACAGCACACCTCGCTTTTTCAGACCGATGAGCTTTGTAAAAATCGATGGGTTTCAAAAAGGTGGGGCATAGAGGAGAAACAATAATGTACAGTATGTCGAAAATAATGTGTTTTTTTAACTTTAAACCGCATAAACACATTTCATTACACCAAATACACAAAATAATGTTCTTTTTAGCAGCATCATATGACCCCTTTAATTAATTAATACATAAATAAATAAACACAAATGGCACCTGTTTTATAGAATGACCCAGTACCTGATCAAACTCTAGGCTTGATGCAATAAAGCAGTATCTTACATGTTATTTTTTTTGTCCTAACCAGCTGCATTTTTTTATTCATTTGGTTGCAGATAGCACTCCCTATCGAGAAATCTCATTGGGACACAATCTTACTCCACATAACTGTATATTAAACATCAAATATGTTCTGATTGGCTGTTTTCGCTTTCACTGTAGAGAGATAAATTACATTACCAGCTTTGTTTTACTTAATTATGTGCTCTAGTTGCTAACTTTATAACTTCTTTTTCCTGCATTGCTACTTCCTGTTTTTCCCTTCTGCCTGTGTCCGCATGTCACTCCTGGATGTCAGGAGTATGTGACCGTCGGCCAATTAAACCATATCTATGGGATGCCGAAGGTGGAGTCTTCCCCTACCTCACCCATCCAATTACTTCAGTCTTCTCTCGCAGACTCCGCCTTCTCCTACCTCCCTTCCCCTCACGGCTCTTCCCTCTCTCTCTCCTTCGAGGTGTGTCTCTCCTCCTCTGTGTTCTCTCGTTTTATTCCTGGTTAGGGCTGGGTATCATCAAGACCTGTATCATTCAGTCATTGAACAAATCATTGAGTTGCTCATTAACACTCTTCTCTTTCTCTCTCTGGCATTCCACCGTTCCACCTCTCTCTCTCCTGCTCATGCTGTCTGTGCTTATGGATGTGCTGTGTGTGTTAAGCGTCAGTCGGACCTGGGCAGGCTTCAGATGCCCGCTCTAGATTTAGAGCGCTGGTACCAGGAGGTAATGGCAGCTGGAGATGCAAACCATCTCTGCCCTCCTCCTCCCCTCCCGGCTAAAGCTTTCTCATCACGCAAGCCTGCGCAGGTAACAGCCAGAAGCTCAGCTCTCTTTTACCCTATTCTGCTCTTCCACATTTTCATACTTCATCTTCATAGGACTCTTTTATATTGACGTGTCTAAGTAAGTTTGTTTTTGTGGGTGTTTTGCTTAAGTGCCATATATATATATAATTTTTTTTTCTTTTTTTTGGCTCTTGACTGTTGTTCAAGGTCTCAAGGTTTCAATCTTCTGTTGTTGTACTGTTGTGTGGAGAACCATCTATAGCAGATTCCTTTTGTTAAATGAATAGTGCACCAAAAAATTACAATTCTGTTAGTGTTTACTCTGTTACTAATCCTCATGTTGTTCCAAAGCTGAATGACTTTGTTTCTTAAATGGGACACAAAAGGAGATGTTGAGCAGAATGTCCAAGCTGCTGTTTTCCGTTAAAACGAGAGTGGGAGGGGACCAGAGGCTATCAAGTTTCAAAAAGGATGTGAAAATGCATAAAAAATTGTCTTACATTATTTAATATATGATAGGGGTGTGAATCTTCACTGGTTTCACGATTCAATTCGATTATGATTATCATGTCAACGATTCGATTCAATTCAATATCACAATGCGTTGCATCCTCGATTTTCAATATTGCTGCACATAGCTATATTTTCATATAAATTTTATATCAAATTTATTTTATGCAGTTTTATTAAATTATATAAGCAGGCTACTTTTTAAAATAATAAAAAATTAGTAATAAATCAAAATAATTGTTAAAGGAGACATAGTATGCCCCTTTTTACAATATGTAATATAAGTCTCTGGTGTCCTCAGAATGTGTATGTGAAGTTTCAGCTCAAAATACTCCACAGATCATTTATTATATCATTTTTAAAATGCCTATTTTGAGTGGAAGCAGAAACGTTAAAAACACACGAGTTACAAAATGTGAACGGTTATGTCTGTGAACGTAAACAGCTGGGAAATAAATCAAATGTTTATTTTAGATCTGTGTGGCAGGAGCAATATACATTAAATAAATCAATAAATCCACTTCTCTCGTCTCCTCTGAGGCTGGGACTGTAAATAGTGTTCTGTGCTTGTCTGTGCAGCCAAAGACAGAACAGTTAGCATGTTTTGCTCAAACTTTTGCCATGGCGTTAGAGCTGGTACACCGTTGTCGCTTGCGAAATCAACCCTTTGCCACGTCACCAAGGGAGCGAAATCAGACACGCTCGTTTGCTCAGACACTTGCAGAAAAAAGCTTACCAAAATGCCTCGTTATTAAAATACATTCAGAATGATCACAAATTCAAGACATGGGGGCAGAAAATGTGTATATTTATACTCAAGTTCACACCGAAGAGTGCCTTTTTTTTATGACAGCTAGGTGTGAGGAACATACTGAAGCAATTATGCTTATAATCTTGCTTGACAGACATGGTCACCATTCACTTTTATTGTATGTAAAAGAGCAGCTTGGACATTCTGCTAAATAACTAATTTTGTACTTCATGAAAAAAAATGTAATTCAGGTTTTGAAAGATATGAGAGTAAGTAAATGATGGCAGAATTTAAATTTTCAAGTAAAATTTTCTTTTACACAAAGCAACTTTTTACTGGTCATGCATGTTTGTTAATGGATTCTGAAGTGAAGTGTTAAACTTTATACACAACTGTTCAAAATGTTGGGGTTGTCAAGATTTTAAATGTTTTTGAAGTCTCTTATGCTCACCAAGGCTGCATTTATTTGATTAAAAACACAGTAAAAACAGTAATATTGTGAAATATTAATACAATTTAAAATAATTGTATTCTATTTTAATATATTTTAAAATGTATTGTATTGCTGTGTTGATGAAGATGAATTTTTCAGCAGTCATTACTCCAGTCTTCAGTATCGCATGATCCTTCAGAAAACTGCTCAAGAAACATTTCTTATTATTATCAGCATTAATATTTATGAGGAAACCATGGTACATTTTTTTCAAGATTCTTTGATGAATAGAAAGTTCAAAAGAACAGCATTGATTTGAAATAGAAATCTTTTATAACATTATACATTTCATGACTGTCAATTTTGATCAAATTACTGCATCCCTCACAAATGAATGAATTTCCATCAAAAAAATTTTTATTAAATTAAAAAAAAATGCTATTTACCCCAAAGTTTGAATGGTAGTATCAACAGAAAGTGCCCTTATAGTCTTGAGTTAAAATCAAGGCACAAGGCATATATTATTTAGGGCTTAAAGTTCTCCGGCACCGTGCCGGATCTCCGGCGTGTAGCGTTTGGCTGCGGAAAAAAATAATCCTACATTTAAAAAAAAAATCTTGTTGATTTGATGTCACTTTCGAGTCCATGAGTTCGCCTACCAGTGGTATGAGAGGAGCACAGCTTTCACTCTCATCTCTTAATGGTAACTTACCGGTAATATACCAGTAAAGACTGTATGTGTGAAAGGGGCTAAACTCTTCCTCTGTATGCTGTGAATTTGAATTGCTTAACATTCAAATGTAAAAACAGTGTGCATTATCTTACTAGATTTGTAACGTAAATCATTTATAAACCTTTGCCAACACAGGAGAATACATCAACCTATTTATAAGTCACGCTCTAAAGTGTAACATCACCAGGCCGTTGGTGCCCTCTGCAGGTATTTGTTATAATACATAATGTACTTAAGTTGGTTATGTTCATATTATGTATAGGCATATTACATTATGTATTTTAACAGTGTTGTTCAATACAATCATGTAATTTCTTGGTTTTGATATTTTATTTGAGCCAATTATTATTGCCTCATCGTTAGTTTATATATAAATAGTCATACTAAAGCCTGGTTTTCACTTAGGTCTGTTTGTTACTAAAAAATATCAGATTACTCAGTTGTCAAAATAATCAGTAGATTACTTGATTACCAAAGTAATTATTAGTTACAGCCCTAGATTAGTTAAAATATTTCTAAATACACTGCATTGTTTTACTTTTTGTAATTAAAAGACAAATATTTTGTTATTGAACATTTCTTATTAAAATATTAATAAGTATTAAAATATTGTCACATTCTAGTGAACCAAGTATCTGTATTTTGTCTCATCTCGTGAGCTAAGTGTTTTGTCACACCCTTAGTGTTGATAAGTGGTGATATAGCTCATAATTTTCCAAGTGTATGATACAGCTTTCATTCTTCAGGTCAACCATATATTCATGAAAAAAAAAATCAGTTTGAATAAAGAAAGCAATAACTTTGCCATAGTATCCTTTCAAATGTTAAAGTTGCCACAGTAATTGCATGCTTTGCATGTGCTGCCCCCGCCCCCGGGAAAAAAGTTCAGGCTCAGGATTTTTTTTTGCTTTATTTTTTTGATAATTATTATCACAATTACAAATATGTATGGGACATTCTTGTATACATCTCTACATCTCTCAGTATAAAGCAGTGTGTCCTGTTTAACATTTTAACAATGCTGATATAATTAAAAACAAATGTTAAAGATGCAGTTCACTCAAGTTCACTTAATTTATTCGAAACTGTGTGCTATAAGTCATACCTAAACCATTTGATGGCTTTCCTCACTGAACATATTCCCGTCCACTGTAGCTTTCAAATCATATTTGCTCATGCTCACATTCAGATTTTCATTGAGTAAATGAAAACATCTCTAGGTTACGTATGTAACCATCGTTCCCCCGAGGGAACGAGATGCTGTGTCTGGACGCTTCGGGCATGCCTCTGTGTGACCACACTCTGAAGCACGTGTGAAATCAGTCCAGTGGAATGGCAAGATGTCATAGGCAGGATGACGCAGTGACCAGGAAGCTTAAAAGCATGTGCGGTGGAAACAGCGTCAGCTTCTGATTAGTGAAGGAAGTGTTTGCAGAGATGCAGGAAGTATGGCAATGAGACGCAGCGTCTCATTCCCTTGGGGAACCGTGGTTACATACGAAACCTAGAAATGTTCCCCTTCAGGAACTCACGCTGCGTCTGGATGCTTTGGGAACGAGAATACCCACTCCGCCATGCTTACAAATCCCTGCCTAGTGTGGAACACTACACAGCTAGGACGAGAGAACAGAGGAGCCAGGAGTGGCTCCAATGTCGAGGTTGTAAAACCTGACAAACTTAAGCGGGATGGACCAGCGTGTTTCTCCCCAATGACTTACCACCCATAGGGCGTGGTAAGCAGCTATGGCTGCCACATACACCTTCAGGGTGGAGGGGGCTAACCCTGCAGTAAACCGTTCCTGCAGGAACTCCAGCACTGAACCAACCGTGCAGTTGACTGGGTCCAGCTGACGGTTGCCGCACCAAGAAGTGAAAAAGTTCCACTTCAAGGAGTTCAGTGTCCTCGTGGAGGGAGCTCTGGACTGGAATATGGTCTCAACAACCTCAGTTGATAGACTGGAATCTATGAGCTGTGCCCCCTCCGGGGCCACACCCATAGTTTCCATAACTCTGGGTAGGGGCGAAGGATGGAGCCCCCCTGCCTGAGAGAGGAGGTCCCTCTTGATGGGAATCTCCCAAGGAAAGCCGTCGAGAAGGGGCACCAGGTCCGAGAACCATGCTTGGCCCGGTGAGAATGGGGCTACTAGTAGCAGACGAACCCCATCCCGGCGCACTCTCTCCAGAACTCCCGGGACCAGACAGAGCAATCGGGGGGAAAGCATACAGTTGCAGCCTCGGCCACGTTTGTACCATATCATCCAGTCCTAGAGGAGCTGGATGTGTGAGGTAGAACCAGAGTGGACAATGTCTCTTGAGATGCAAACAAATACACTTGGGCCTGTACGAACACCCTCCATATCTGCTTCACTACCTCGGGGTGCAGAATTCATTCCCCAGGCCTCGGCCCCTGCCTCGGCAGGATGTCTGCTCCCTGATTGAGGTGCCCAGGGATGTAACCTGCTCTCAAGTAGAGGAGTTTTCCCTTGGCCCACAAAAGGATCTGATGCACCAGCCTGTATAGGGGACACGAACGCTGACCCCCCTGGTGGTTGATGTAAGAGACCACCGATGTGTTGTCTGTGCGAACAAGCACATGATGGCCTCTTAGGTCTGGGAGAAAGTGTTTCAGTGCATGAAACATGGCCAACATCTCCAGAGTGGGAATGACCCCATTGAACTGAAGCGAATGAGAACCAAATTGGATTCTGTAGCTTCTTTCTACAGTCAGCAGGACCCATTGAGACATGTTTGACAAATTTCCATGCTGCCAGATGGTCTACTAAGGGAATCAGTCTTTCGAGACTTCTGGTGTACTTTAAACAGTCAACTTGGTGCCCTGAAGCAGATGACCAGGTGTGCAGGCTGCTCCCACCCAGCAGCCCCAAGGACATGAGAGCGGCGAGGAAGGAACCGCTGGAACGCCGCCGCCTGCTTCTTGGCCTCCTGAAACCTGTTGACGGCAGAATTATCTGCGCCGCCGAACAGGCCAGTAGGTGGGGCGTCCAGCAGGAAGAACCTGTCCTTGTCCTTAATCTCGGACAGGTTCAGCCACAGATGCCTCTCCATAGCCACCAAGGCTGCCATAGACCGATCAATGGGTCTAGCTGTCTCTTTGGTAGCCTGGAAAGACAAGTCTGCGGCCCGACGCAGTTCTTTAATGCCATCGACCTTCACCTCCTCACCCTCATCAAAGGTACTTGAGCAGGACGGCTTGGTAAGCCTGCAACACTGCCATGGTGTGCAGACAAGCCCAAGCCTGACCTGCCGCCATATACGCTTTACCCACCAAAGCCAAAGATGTCCTAAGACGGATAGACAGATAGCTCGCAAGTGTCTGCTTTACTCGAGACATCACCCCATAGCCGTGCTCCCTCTGCCCCACGATTTTAGAATAATTCATCACTGCATGGCTGAAGATGCAGGCTGAAAAAGGTTTACCCCACGATCTAGAAACCTCGGTGTGAAGATCAGGGAAAAACCGAAGGCCCCAGCATTTGCCCAACTTGCTCTTAGGATGCTCATCCTGTTTCTTGGCGGGCCAATTTATGTTAAGCTTGGCCACCGCCCAAATCCTTACCTCCAGCAGCTCCTCGTACTGGATGGACTGGGGTAGCGAGTCTGCAGTCTCATCCTCGTCGACGCCCACCACATCAACCTCTTCAGGAAGACAGGTGGAGCATCGAGCCCTCTCCCCGGGGGGAAGAAACTGCTGAGCATGCTTCCGATCCCTGAGAAAGAGCACTAGATCTGGTGGGTGAGGGTAAAGAAAGGGACAAGCCCATCTCCAACCCCTCCACCAGATCCATTTGCGATCCCCATGACCGCAGCCGCCGCTCTGAGTTGGCAGAAGGGTACCCAAGCCACGAGGAACTTTCACCAAAGCACCCTCCTCGAAGAGTACCTGGCGGGAGTGGAGCGGAACGTATGTAGCGAGAGCCACTCACAAAGCAGACAGTTAGCCCACTGGCACAACACAAGTTCTCAAGACAGACAGAGACACAGAGTGCTTACTGAAGAAACAGAAGCTGACACTGTTTCCACCGCACATGCTTTTAAGCTTCATGGTCGCTACGTCATCCAGCCTATGACGTCTCGCCATTCCATTTGATTCCACACATGCTTCAGAACGTGGTCATGCAGAGGCGTTCCCTAAGCGTCCAGACAGAGCGTGATTTCCTGAAGGGGAACTGAATTTTGTGTTGAACTACAACTTTAAATCTTAGAGTTACTATGTTTATTGATGTAAACAATAACTCAGTTTTACAGTAGTAAAATGAAAAGCAATACTTCGACTCACAATGAATCATTCTGACCTGCAGGTGTACCGCTCTCGACTGGACAGTGATGCAAGCCAATCATCACTGAGACCGAAAATCAGCGCTGGTCTGTCCCCCACATACACTACAGCTACACTGGGACGTAACACTCCTGCCAGGGTAAATACTGCATTGAGACTATGTGAGCATCGTGCCAGGGTAAATTCTCTCTTTTACAGCCCTGCCATGGTAAATAGTGCAGTTATCAGAATCTCCTACATCATTTAATGTAGTCATTTATCTCCCTCCTTTATTGTTAAATATGCTGGTGGAAATAATAGTTTGTTTTATTTACCCAGAGTCCTCTGATGGTAGCCAACAGCACCGGGAGTCTCCCACGCAACCTGGCAGCCACCCTGCAGGACATTGAGACCAAAAGGCAGCTGGCTCTTCAGCAGAAAGGTAATGAGAAACACAGCAGCTTGACAGCTGACATTTCAGAGCTGGTTGTAAGATAAACATTTTTTAAACTAATGTTTGATGGCTCATCAGCCATTTATGGCTGATGAGCCATCAAACTTCAAGGAGTTGCTCAACCAAAAATGTAATTATTTACTCACCCTCATGTCGTTCCAAATCCGCATGCTTTTTTTTTTTTTATTTCCACATCAGTTTTATTTTCCATATTCATAGTGACCATTGGATGCCAGTTTCTTCTTTGGGCGTCTTCCTTAGTTGTCTTTTAACTTTTGATCATCAATCATCTTTTGTTGTCCCTTGCCCTCAAACAGAATTCTTGCCCTCCATGTTTGAGTCATCCTCCAGTATGGACAGTCCCACAGGTAGAGCGAGCTCTAAGTAGCATTGGACTGCCCTTCATCGTAATCAGCATCCTCATTAATTCTAACTCAACATTTTGTGCACTTCCACCCCCATTGGAACGGTCTTGCCTGTGTCCAAATGTTCTTTTACCAAGTTTTTTTCCACTGATGGCATAGCTGTGCATGGATTGAATCATGATATCAGTGATAATCTTGTAGTTTCAAATCAGTCAAAAGCTATACATACCTGAATTTGTTTGTGGCGATCTCAAAACCTTATGACCTTATGAAGGCTTATACTTAAAGGCTTGAAATGACTTTTTATGCAAATATAAATTGTACCTTGTAGTTTTAAATCATTTGATTTTAATTTTTAATTTGTTAACATTTTTGTGGTTACTATAAAATTCCCAAATCACAGGGAGCATTTTATTATTATTTTTTAAATTATATTTTGAAATTACTTTCTATGCAAATATAAATCATACCTAATTGTACCTAACTTATATTTAATTTTCATTTTTAATATGTAAACGTTTTGTGACTTCTACATAATTCCCAAATCATGGGGAATATTTTATTTTATCTCTAATATAAGATCAGTTTAATTCGGTTTTTTATATTTAATTTTCATTTTTAATATGTAAACTTTTTATGACTTCTACATAATTCCCAAATCACTGGGAATATTTTATTTTATTTTATTTTAAATTTTATTGTGGTTATCTAAAATCGCAGGGAGCATAAATGTTTAATTAGTTTAATCAGTTTCATTAGTTTTTAGATTAATTTTAATTTTTTATTTTATTCATGTTAACATAATTCCAATACTTTTCAAAAATATAATAAAGAATGAGTAGTGGAGTTTTGACTTGTAGCGTACAAAGGAATCTTGATTTAGAGGTATTGCTTGGGCTGTTTATTCAGCGCACATACATTGCATATTTATATGTGTATGTGTGAGGCATGATGGAGCAAATTATGGGCAAACTATGCCATCCTAAATGGATGTGCAGTCACTTGGGTTTCAAAGCACTTTGTAGTCTAAAGGAGGGTTTGGCAGCTATATTTGACCTATAAAATGCTTAGCTTGTTCAGTTTTGGACACATTTAGTTCACTGCATATCCTATTTGTGGATTTTACTTTCATATATGCTTTTTATCTACATCAGGCCAGCAAGTGATTGAGGAGCAGCGGAGGCGTTTGGCCGAGCTGAAGCAGAAAGCTGCAGTAGAGGCTCAGTGCCAGTGGGAGGCGCTACATGGCTCTCAAACGCAGATCAACAGTCCCTTTTCTTCAACCTCGGGGCCAGTCGTGCACCACTCCATCCTGCATCACACAGCGCCCTCTTCTGGGGAACAGCCTTATGACACCCTCAGCCTGGAGAGCTCGGACAGCATGGACACAAGCATCTCCACTGGAAACAACTCTGCCTGCTCTCCTGACAACATGTCCAGGTTCGACATTTCCATGTGCTTTCCTTAATCACTTTCTCTGAGTGCTTAGCCAATGGCTCTGTGACAGGAATTAGTGGCAGCTCTGTGGTCTCTCTCCACATGCCTGTCCCAAGCTAAATGATCAACCATCTGCTTAATGGCTTTCACTGAGTATGATCCAATTTGCCCAATAATGCCTTCAAAGTGGACTTCATAGGGTGTTCGGCCATCTAAAGTGACACTTTAGCGTAAATTAGATTTATTATTTACTCATTTATTTTCATTTTAAACATTGCATTTATCAGTAATTGTGAGGGGTTTGAGTATGACAAATGATATTACATTAAATATATCAATAAAAAGTATTTGTAATATACATATTATATCTTATATACAATTCTAATAAACACTACTGTTCAAAGGTTTTGAGTCAGTAAGGACGTATTAAATTAAAGTGACGGTTAGACATTTAAAATGTTACAAAAGATTTCTATTACAATTTTTGAATTTTTAGCTTTGAAAATTTAGTTTTGTCATCTCAGAAATAAATGTTCAAATATTGATATAAAAACATATTTTAAATTGTAATAATATTTCACAATATTACTGTTTTTACTGTATATTTGAACACATGAATGCAGCCTTTATGAGCATAAAAGACTTCTTTCAAAAACAAAAAAATGTTTTGTATTATTTCATACATTTGACTGATGTTCTGTAAAATATACAATATTTGTAACTGCATTTTAATGTAACACTATATGTATTGTCTGGTTAAATATTATAATTTTTTTTTTTTTTAATTCTAAGGTAATTCATAATAGTGCTATTACTTTTTTCAAAAACATTTGAAAAAATCCTACGGGTCCCAAACAGTTTGAACTGTAATATATATTGTAATTTTATATAAGAAATCATATTTATATAAAAATGTTTATATTTAAATTAATATAATGTGTTATACTGTCTGTTATTATACATTTATATTATATTATGTCCATGTGAAAATGTGTAAAATAATGTATATTTTAGATAAATTCACATGCATGTAGTAACTCTGTGAATCAGAATGCAGCAGCCGTGCTTCATCCCGCCCCCTTTCCTGACAAAAGGAAAGAACAAATGAACGGCTTTGATGCTTGAGGCTACAGATTAGGTTGTTTCTGGGTTAAACGGACTGCGTGAAGACACGTCTTTAAGCTTGTAGGTTGTTGCTGGGTAAAACAGGCTCTGTTGAAATGGTCGTCTGTTCAGTTTCCACTTAACAAGGACATTCAGAGCACATATAGGACTAATTGGGCTTGCAAAAATGTCAACAGTCGAAAAAGGCGTCTTCCATAAACACATGCCTGAAGTTTTATTGTTTGCTTATCCACCCTTCCTGTCATAAATGAGCGCCCACTTTTTTGTCTCTGCTTTTCACCATCCCTCTCTCTGCATATACGAATAATCCATTGTACTTGTGTAAACTATACGTACATATGGCAGTTAAGTGTCCTGTTATACTTTCATCAGAATTTGACATTTATGAATAACAGATGAGGAGGAGAAAGGAGAAAGGAATTATAGGTTGTGGAAATTAATGAGGTGCAAATACCAGCACGTGACACCAGGGCTGAGTGAAATTCAGAATTCAGTTCATGAGTGTAGATTTGAATTGAATTGGTCATGCTGCAGAGCATGTTGGAGTGGAATTTGATTTGGAATGACAGGAAGAGAAATGCACTTAATTGTAATTCAAAGAATTTTAGTGCAGTCACATAACAGATTTTCTTCTACACGCAAAAAAAATTAATAATTTATACGGTAAGCCTGCTTTGTATTGTTTGTCTCCATTTTAAAGACTTTGGGGTAAATTAGAGCATTCTGGGAAATGTTGGGGATAAAGTGCATCAGAGTTCACAAAATGAAAGTTCAGTTACTAAACATAATGAAATAGTATGTACAGTATATGCATATATAGAAAATTAATCTACATTTTCATTTATTGATTATTAAAATTAATATTAATTATTGACATACTTTTCTGGAATTGCTTAATGTAGTATACGTATGTTTAATAACTCATAGTCATACTGAAAAATGAAGTGTACTCTGCCGTTCAAAAGTTTGCGTTTAAGAGATTTTAAAATGTTTTTGAAAGAAGTTTCTTATGCTCACAATGGTCAGATTTTGTTTTAATGAAAAATACAGTTATGCTCATAAAGGCTGCATTCATGTGTTCAAATGCACAGTAAAAACAGTAATAATGTGAAATATTATTACAATTTTAAATAAGTGTTTTCTATTTAAATATATTTTATTCCTGTGATGCAAAGCTGCATTTTCAGCATCATTACTCCAGTCTTCAGTGTCACATGATCCTTCAGAAATCATTCTAATATGCTGATTTGCTGCTCAAGAAACATTTTTATTATCAATATTAAAAACAGTTGTGGAAACCATGCTAGATTTTTTTAAAGGATTCTTTGATGAATAGAAAGTCAAATAAACAGTGTTTATTTGAAAAAGAAATATTTTGTAACATTATAAATGTCTAAATAAGTATAAATGTCACTTTTAATGAATTTAATGCATCCTTGCCAAATAAAAGTATTAATTTCTTAAAAATAAAAAAAGTAAAAATATATCACTAACCCCAAGCATTTGAACAGAAGTGTATTATTAAAAACTACACTTACAGCCATAATATGAATTTATTTGAATGTCATTCCATTTCACTTTAGATTCAGATATTCTTAAATTCAAATCTGGATTCAGGAATTGAATTTCAAAGACATTCTCATTTCAGTTCTGAATGGGACACACAACCCAGTTGACACTGACATGTTGTCTTCAGTTACAAGTGTAATCATGGGGAATGTGTGAAGATGTTGTAAACAAAAGCCTGTAAAGTACAGTGAAGCAGTGGAGCAGTGGAGCTGGACTGGAGCATGACGGCTTTGTAAACAGATGGCCTTCAGCTGTTTCTCTCTCAGGAGAGAATTTGTTTACTTGAAATGTTCTCATACAGTTTGTTTACTCTTGTCTTTATAAAGCTTCAAGCTAGTCTGGGACTCTTCTCTAGAGGAATCCATTACTCATTTTCTTTTTCTATGTTTATAGTCCACATGTGCTTCATTTCATGTTTCACGGCAGATTTTCATGCTTGTACTGTATGTGCAATTCAGTTGTATTTTCATATATGACGAAATGTTTCGTAATCCACCGGTCTCACCGCTACTGGTCTCCATTCCATCATTCACCAAATAGATCACCGAGGGGTAAAATCACTGAACGGTTGCGCAACTTTCGATTGAGTATTTAAATGTTTGCTGTCTGTCTTGGTTCAAAAACATATAGTTAATGACTTTGACTGAAGTTTTATGTGTTTCACAGTGCCAGTGGTATGGATGCGTTGAAGATTGAGGAGATGGAGAAGATGTTGAAAGAGGCACAACTGGAGAAAGCTCGACTCATAGAGTCCAGAGTAAGTCATAATATCAGTATACAATCGATACAGTAACCATATTCAGCTTTTTTGCCTCCCAGCCTTGTCTAATAACATCTGCCCTCTTTTGGCTGCAGGAACGAGAGACTCAGACCCGTAAACTCATGCTAGAGGAGGAGAGAAGAAGAAGAGAGGAGGCGGAGAAGAGACTGCAGGAGGAGACGATACATAGACAGCAGCTGATAGAGAAGGAGGTGAAGATGAGGGCCAGAAACTTCTCTCAGGTGAGGAGTCGCAGATCTGTGCCGAAAGTCCATAGTGATTCTACTAGGACTGTCAATTTAATGGATTCATTTTGTACAAATATTTATGGGTTATGGTTCTTAAAGATGTACTCTTTGTATTCATGTAGGTTTCGTATGGTTATGAATTTTTTTATACCCTTTTAAAGAAAAGCTTTAAGCTTTTAAATTACAGTTTAATTTTATTCAAACATTTTTTTTTATTTAATTACATAGTCATTAGTCATTAGTTTTTTATTTAATTAGAAATTTAATTTTAATCATTTTCATTAGGAATTTAATTTAAACCTTGAAATATAGAAATATTTATTTTACCTTGATATATTATACAGTTGCGATCACAAGTTTGCACATGCTTTGTAGAACCTTTGCTTTGTAATATCGTCACACGCTTGAGGTATCCGGCCAATCACAACGCACCGGATAGCTGGCCAATCAGAGCACACCTCGCTTTTCAGACCGGTGAGCTTTGTAAAAATCGACGCGTTTCAGAAAGGCGGGGGGCATAGAGGAGAAACAATAATGTACAGTATGTGGAAAATAATGTGTTTTTTGAACCTTAAACCGCATAAACACATTTCATTACACCAAATACACAAAATAATGTTCTTTTTAGCAACATCATATGACCCCTTTAATGTCTGCATTTACATCTACAAGATGTATTTTTTCGATTTGTATTTTTTAGTTCATCTGCAATATGTCTCTAAGACGTTTCCTATCAGATGTTAAATAGATGTTTTGAAGATGTTTATGATTTAGAATGTATGTAAATCTGCTTTTTCTAAGACATTTATCAGATGTTTCTACAGATGTTTCCCAGATCAAGCGCTCTGTTTTATGTTCTTACATAAATTAGGTTTTTGGTTTTTATGCCAAAAAATTATGTAAAATTATGGTATTTTGGGAAGGTTTATGGAGCCAGAAATATGACATTGAATTTGAATTGAGAAAATCTTTCTCAAGTTTTTTAATAGTTTAGTTTAATTACGTTGAATAATTTTATTGTATTTGTGCACACATACCAGACATAGGTCAAAACATTAACAAATTTGGCTGAATTATATAAGCCCGAAGGGGTAGGGGCCTACGAAATAAAGAT